GAACACAGCATTGTAAAATGACTATACCTCAATAAAAAATAATGTTTTAAAAAATTTTTTTAAAAATCAATTTGAAGAAAAATAAAAACACACAAAAAGAAGCTTCATTATACTGAGCAGTAAAAATAGAGCAAGATGCTTTTGAGCTGTGTCCTGCGAAACCAAAAGATAATTTTGGAGGGCACGAAGTCATCCTGTCGGGGTACTTCTCTGGTGGGATTAAGTCTCCGTATTTTAAATGTTTCTGAAAGTCTGGTGTCTAACCCAGTTTTTTCTCGCGTCCTCTCTTCAAGCTACACCCTTGGGTTTATACTGGGGTCCCCTGCAGCCTGCATTTCTAAACACCTCCTCATTGCTGATGTATCTGTACTTTGACTCAGTGAGCGCCCCTGCCCCAGGCGTGCACCGGACGCCGCGGGAAACCTTAGAAAAACAAGGTGAAGCTGCTCACGGGAAGCTTAAAGTCAAGAGGCGGAAACAGACGGTGACGCAGGCGTCTTGGCAAATGTGGGCGTCGGGCCGGGCTGTGGACACGGGGAGTGCCCAGGGGCGAGGGCCAGCCCTGGCTCTCCAGGGGACTCAGGGGTGAAGAGACGAACAATTATCAAAGTGATGGGGGTGGGGGACAGGGAGAAGCAGGCACAGGAAGAGGAGCAGGAGGAGAAAGAGAAGTGCCGCCCTCCGGTCTGAGCAGAAGAAACAAGAGCGTCAGTGTCCTGCAAACCCTGTCCTGTCCGAGCCGCTCTCCTGACCCAGGGCGGCAACTTGCGACGAGTCGGTTCATGTCTCTGGCCTTAATTTTACTCATCTTCCAAAAAGGGGTGGCAACACCTATTTTTCCAGACTTCGGCTAAGAAATCAGGAGTTAATTATTTAAATCTTTAAAAACTAGAAAAATGCCTTCAAAAAGGATGTTTAATCAAAATATCATGTTTGTTAACACTAGCCTCTCCTTGCTCCAAATTCCCAGAAAATATTATATATTTATATACATATATATATATATATATTTAACTCTTAAGATTGTGGAAGCCAAGAATGGTGTCATCAGTAGAACAGAACATTCCAGAAGAACTTGAAAATGAGAAAGCAGGCTGAGTGCATGAGGTCCAGGCGCCACCAGCAGACCCTGGCTGTGAAGGATGGTAGAGGTTAGGTGCCTCCCGGCGAACCTCACTGTGGGCACGGGCAGCAGGTTGGAGGCAGAGAGAGACTGGACACGGGCCAGGGTGCCTGTTTTGTCCCGTGGGTGAACCCATTGATTTTTTAAAAAATTTTTTTAAATTTCTTTTTCTTTTTTTTGTGGGAGGAGTAATTAGGTTTATTTATTTACTTTTATATTTTATTATTATTATTTTTTAATGGAGGCACACACTCTACCCCTGAGCTATACTCTGCCCCCGAAGACATTGATTGATATTTGATATCATAGACAATATAAAATTGAATGTGATGATTAAAATTTTTAATTACCTCTAGAAAAATATAGCTAGGATGTATGCCCAGCAGGGCCGTTGCTTAAAAAAAAGAAAAAAAGTAAATGGAATAAATGAACCTGCTTGGCTCAAATTTTTTGGAAAAAAGGAAGAAAGCCTGGAAAAGAAACAACATAAACTAAACAGAAATAAGCCTATGCTGGTAGAAAAAATCATGATATACATACTATTCACTCAATTTTCGTCTTTTCTGAAAAAAGAAAAGTTCTGTTCAGTTGGACGAAAAGAGAAACTTGGCTGCATGCTGCGACGAAGCAGCACGTCACATATGTCAAAGTGTGAAAATAAAAGATATAATAAGAATGTAGTATTGATATTAGACAAACACATTCCAAGAGAGAGTCCAGAGAAGAAAATACCAGATTATCAAAGGTATAATTATGTAGGAAATATGACAACCACAAAGTCTCACGCCCCCAGAGTGATGGGCCAGTCTTGCATGTGAAATAAACACAACTTTCCTAGGTGAACGTTAGCAGAGTCCGCAGCACACTAAAAGGATCACACATCATGCCAAAGCTGGGTTTTCCCCAGAAGTCTTTCAAATGATGAAAGAAATGAAAGAAGGAAACAGAAAATGACACATGAATAGGACGCCTTAAAAAAAAAGCAAGAATTTGCAAAAGAAGCCTATGGAAATTCTAAAGTGAGAAAACACAGCGACTGAATATAGTTTCCAGTGTTATATAATAGAAACTTGTTGTTTATCTCTTTTAAGTTCAGTAGTGTGTATCTGCACATCCCACACTCCCAGTTTATCCCGCCCCACCGCTTCCCCTCTGAGTGACCGTGAGTTTATTCTCTACGTCTGTGAGTCTGTCTCTGTTTTGTAAATAAGTTCTCTTGTGTCTTTTTTTTTTAGATTCCATCTAATAAAATTTATTTAATTGTAAAATACATAATTTAGTCACAGCTATGGTTAATAACGGGCTCCCCAAATTCCTGAAAAGTAATGATTCGTCAGTTCGCAGGAGCCGGTATGAAGCATCTCCATCACATCACTCCCTGCTTAATGCTGAGAATTACCAGACATATAAGTGGGTTGAAGAAAAGCCAGGTAGTTAACCCCCGAGTGGCTTCATACCAAACCACACGAAGCGTCTTCACTGGCCGGCACAATAAAGGGCAAATACCGAAAGGCATGCCCGAGTACAGAGTGGACACAATACACCGTGTGTGTGTCCTAACATCACTCAGTCGGCAAAGCCTCCTTTGTGAGCCGCCTCCTTGCAGAGTCGGAGAGAAACGGGCTCAGCGCACCAGAATCCCAGCGAATTCAGCTAATAGGAATGCACACGTTGGTCTAAACTGAGGCCCCAGAACGGTCTCTTACATCTTCCTCGCCCCAGGAGGGGATGAGCGAGAGAGATTACTTGTGGATTATAATTGCTTAAAATAGGTTGTGATGTAAAAATCGAATCCCGTCTGCTCTTCAGTAGTAAAGTTCTACAGACAGAGAAATTATGCTTAATGCCAGTGTCTTGAAGGTAAAAAGAAAACTCTGTTCTCCCTTTGGGGGAAGAGAAAGGACATCTTTTTAGAGCTGTCAGAATTCACAAGCCATAATAAATTATTCTTTTTCATTACTGATTTATTAAGCAGGCTGCTTGGTGTAATGGCAGAAAATTTCTGTTTAATTTTCACAGTATCAGACGCCTGTGATTCCTGATCTGAAATCAACATGAGTTATTAAAAGAAGGGGATGTATTTAACGTTAGGCGTTAGGATCTGCCTTTACTAAATTCTTCCAAGCGCAGGGGTTAAGCGTTTATGTAACATGGTCATTGTTTGACTGAAGCAAGACATCAAACCTGTCCTTGGGACAGCCCGTTCAGGTGAGCCGATCCCGAGACTCTGGTTGTAACAGTGGTCTTCCATCGGGTAAGATCTGCTATAAAAAATGAAAAATGTATCCATAAGCCCCAAACCAAAGAATCACAGGAGACAAAGAATTCTCATTTTCACTGGAATTAGAATTTTATTTAAATGATAAACGATTGACCAAAATGTCAGGATCACGGAGTTAGAATTTGGGTAAACGTGGGATGTTTCAGAAAACTTCCAACCACAGACATAAAAGGATAATTACGTGAAGCACATCTGAACCCAGGGAAAGCAAAAGGCATTCTGTTACCTCCCATACCTCGCCTCTTGCCGATGCAATGGTCTCACGCTGGGTTATTAAACAGTATTGACCAAGCTCTTACCCTGGAATCCTTCAGCCCGCAAGGAGGTTTTGAAATAGCCCGGGAAGACAGCTGTCTGGTGACAAACAAGCTGTCCGGGGCGGGTGTGGGGAAGCGCGGAGGGGCACCAGGGACCCGTCCCCTCCGGAAGGGTCTGCTGGGCCTCACCGACCAGATGCATCGCAGCTGTCCTTAGGGCTTGTGTGGAATTCACCTGGAACGGATATTGTAAGTAAATCTGAGGGCTTATCACCTTTAATAATGAGCTCTAACTGTATTTAACTGCCTTGGCAGAACCGTTGAGTAAGTGGGTGCTACCCTTGTTGCAGATACTGTAATTTCTAGATTGTTTACCGGGCTCATTTTGTAATCAACCTCTAAATTTGCAGAAACTGGTCAGGTGTAAACTAAATACATAATCATATCCAACTGAACGAACTTGGGACTTTGGACCACATTCTAAATATCTCCTTCGGGTATGCGTCCGAGTCTCCACCCTTCCCTGATTTAGTCAGCCAATAACAGGGACCATTCCTGACCTTCTCTACGGCGCTCTGCTCTTGAAACGTACTTTTTTTTTTTTTAAACAAAGGCCACACCAAAGACAAAGACCAGTCCTTCTCCACGATTAGAGGGACTCCGTCTTGATCACCGCTGGAAGCCTGCCGGGCACACGGGGAACTCAGCAAGTGAACACTGAGTGAGCAAGACCGACGGCAAGCTGCCTTCCAGCAGGAACTGGGTCATCCGCAAGCAGATTAGCTCAGGTAACGATAAATGCTTTGAAGAAGGTAAAAATGGGGATGAAGAGATAGGAGAGGAACATCACGCCGGGAGGTAGGACAAGGAGATTTGCAAAAGGAGCCCGTAGAAAGGCCAGAGGAGCCAGCCATGTGAGGGCGCGGGGGAGGGGTGAGACAGCAGCCAAGGCGGCCCGCGGGAGCTCCAAGGCTGAGCGGGGTCCACGAGGGCCGGGTGGGGGCCAGGTCACGCGGGGTCTGCGGCCACCCAGTAACGGGTTTGGGTTTTCTTTTAAGAGAATTCAAGAGCCCCTGAGGGTTTAAGCAAGACAGGGGCACGAACTTAATTTCAGAACAATCCCACTGGCGGCAGAGTTTAGGGGATCAGAGGACAAGAGACCCCGAGTCTCGGACTGTCTTCCAGGCAAGAGGTGAGCCGGCTTGAACTTGAGTGGAAACGGACAGGAATAGAACAGGCGCCCTTGGTATACGTTTTGGAGGTTGGAACAACAGGTCTCCCTGATGGGCTGGACACGGGTGGGTGGGTGGGGATGGGCTGGTGTGGGAAGGACACTGACGTTTTCGGCACTTACAGACTTGCTGTTAAACAGCTTGCGGAAGACAGAGAAAAGCCAGGCTGGGGAAGGGGTGGACAAGGGCGGAGGAATCCTCTTGCCCCGGAATGATTTTGTGTCTATGCTCCTCTGCCCCCGACCAGCATGACTCACTCGGCTGGTGACATGGAACCACCTTCTGATCCGCCCGTGGCCGGCCTCCCAAGGTGATGCCAGGAAGCACCACCCAGAACCTTCAAGGAGAGAGAGCAGGCTCCCGCCAAGGCATTCCAGCCCGTTTCAGAGGAGGCGAGGTTTGTTTGAACAAAACCCAGTTCTCCCGGGTTGCCGCCATCTGCTTGCTCCCCACGAGCCCCGCCTCCGTGGACACCTGGATGTTTGGGGTTTGGAGGAGGTGGTCCAGTTTGCAGATGGCGGAGAAGGGGACGGGAGCTGTATTCACAAAACCCAGTGATCCAGAAAGCCATTGTGAGGCAGGATTTTCAGTTTCAACATGACTGGGGGTCGGGGTGGAAATTCAAGGCTGGGGGGCAGAAAAGAAGCAGAAACAAAAATAACAAGGCCATTAATCTTTCATTAAGTTAAAGGGATGAAAAGGAACTGCTTAAAGTATCATTCTTCCCTTACCCCACAAGCGTGTTGCCCCCCGCTGACTTCAAAGGCCCTGACGAGAAGTTGGTTAATGTTGTTGGCACAGTATCAGGCTGTGGTTTACTTTCGCTTAAGTATGATTTTTTTTTCCTTCTCAACAAAGAAAGCACCCGCGTCGGGCACTCTCCGGTGGGAGGAGGCTCGCAACGGCAAAGATGCCTTTGTGTCGTGTCGGAGGCCTTCCGCGCTGGCCTCTG